ATGTAGTCTGATCTGTTCTTAATATGACCACTGAAGCATAAGAGTTGAAAACTAAACATAAGCTTAATTCTGGAGGGCAGGAGAGAAATTCTGCTCCAAAGAAGTCTGCTAGGGATGCAGAAGGAATAAACTAATGAGCAGAGATGAATTAATAGATCTGTACAGGGAAACACTGTCTGGTGACATTTGAAATTCAAGTTGTCTTACTCTACATCAGGAACAAACAGATCCTCAGCTGTTTACAAACATGAAGCAAACTGAATTCTGCAACAGTGGGTAAGGCTGTGCAGTTATTTTAGACCCATGTTTGAATGCCTGGGCTGAACCAAGCAGAAGATTTTGCCAGCTGACAGATTTTTATAGAAATATGTATCTTCTAGCAGTAGGAGTTCAAGGTTGTTCTACAGTGAAGTCTTAAGTGACAATCTTAATGTCCCATTAGAGGGACTCTGGTCAATATTTTAGAAGTGTAAGATGTATGGGTCTATAATTTCCTGTTTTGTCTCATGAACAGTGAATGCAACACTAATGGTGTCCAGGAGCTTATTACCAAAATTAGCATGAAAACCTATCAGAGCTAGTTGTTAATTTTGGATGTAAAAATTTTGCATGTGAACTCCCCTCTCCCTCCACACAGACTTTTTTCCCCAATTAGGTATTTGTGGTTTAATGCTGTTTGCTTGAAGTAATACTTAACTGAGGCAGTAATACAGATATCCTTTTCTCACTTCAGTGAGGAGCAATCCAGACTGGCAGCAAGGAAGTATGCAAGAGTTGTTCAGAAACTGGGTTTTCCTGCAAAATTTTTGGATTTTAAAATTCAGAATATGGTGGGAAGCTGTGATGTGAAATTTCCCATCAGACTGGAAGGATTGGTACTCACACACCAGCAGTTCAGCAGGTAAAAAAGGCTTGCTTCTGTTTCATTCTTGTTGCATACTATCTTAGAAAGTGACATCTTTTAGATTATTCCCTTGCACCACAGGGAAACCTGCAATTTTGTTTCCATCTCTGCACTGCCTCAGCTGTAACTGAGGCTGCCCAATGTGAACCTGTCAAAATGATCTTCCCTGCTACCCTCCCCAAGTTTCAGGGAGTCCTAGACTGGGCCCAGAAGATAGGGTGGAACATAGGTCTGCAAGCACACTTAAACACTCTCACTCTCTTCTCTTACAGCTACGAGCCAGAATTGTTTCCTGGCTTAATCTACAGAATGATTAAGCCAAGAATTGTTCTGCTTATTTTTGTTTCTGGAAAAGTGGTTTTAACTGGTAAGTGAAGACAGTATGTTACTCCAAGAGGTGAGATTTAGACTGTATTGCAGAGAACACGTAGGGATATGTAAGCTGCCAGGTACTTTTCCTTTAGAGATGACAGTGCTGAGAAAGGAGATTTAATAGAATATTCCATGGATGCTGATGTTAAGGAAACTTCCCTGTGCAGCCATCCAGCAGCCACTCTGGCAGTCAGAGCCACTACAGCTGCGGTAGGACCAAAACCTGTTTGCAGTGGGCAGCTCCAGCGAAGCCAGCAGGTGTCCTGCTTGACTCCCTACACATCCCACTCCACACAGTCAGACCAGGTTTTCTTCAGGGCTCAGCACCAGGCTTTGTTATGCAAAGATTCAGCAGTTCAGGCCTCTTTCCTTGGGTTCCTGCACCCAGAGCTCAACCTGCAGCTCAGCACTGCCACTGCGCACAGAGCTTCCTGCACTGTATTCCTTAACAGATGAGAATGCACAAAGCAACAGCACATTTGGCTAGATCAAAGGAACAAGGATCATGAACCCTAGTCAGGTATGCAGGTGTCCAGAAAGCTGTAAGAATGCAGGTGATCTTTCTGGCAAAATCTGAAAGACTCTTCCTGTGGCTGAGCATGTGTGGCTAGATTTTCTCTTGAAGCTTGGCTGCAGGCTGCTGCCATGCTCTGTGATACAGCAGCAAAGGGAGATACATGAGCTCTAGGACCTCCTCAACCTCAGGTGCCTGACCTACTCCATTCATTTCCTCTCATGCTGTGTCTTACTATGGAGAAAAAATGCACAAGATCCACAGACAAAATCAGGATCTTGTCCCTGCAATGTCCTCTGCAGTGGTCTCCATTGCCAGACCTTGCTCTCCCTGATGCACTCTCAAAAAAAGCTCCACCAGCTAAATCTTTCTGCACAAGCATCCTGCAGGGCTGTGCTTTGTTGTTGGGTCTCCTGTGGAAATTATGTATATGAAAATTCCATTTACAACATAGCATCGTCACAGAGATGCTAGTGAAAGTTTTAGCAGTTGTCAGATTAAATGCAGAAGGCTGGTAATGTAAGCTATGAAATGTATTAAAAAGGATTGTAAAAGTAGAGATTTATGGATACAGGTAGGTTTTATATAGAGTTGCATTCAGATATACATTCTAAAAGCTAAAATTAAGTATTTGGTGAAAGGTACAAACTAATTTAATCCCTTCTCTTTTTCCAGGTGCTAAAGTAAGAGCAGAAATCTATGAAGCATTTGAAAACATCTATCCTATTTTAAAGGGGTTCAGAAAGACAACGTAACAGTTTCTACACCTTTCAGAGAAATCAGGGGTATATTTTCAAAGGTATTGTGTATGGCACAGCAGTAACAAGAAACGGACTTCCAGTGCAACTGCAACACCAGGACTTGGACTATTTCCCAGTTAGTGCCTACTTCCCTGATGCTCAAGGGGAACTGTATTCTTGAATATGTCTACTGAGTTACTGTGAGTTGCTTTACTGGGCTGTTCCTGGAGCAGCCTCTCCAACTTTTATTTATATTCTAGCTTTTAAATAGTTTTAATGCCAGTTCTATTAATAGAAAATCTGTAAGTTGGTTTAAAGACAAATGCAACTGTGTCACTCAGTGTATAAACCACTTAAATTGCCATGTATATATGTTTTAAGTTCCTTCCATAAGACCATGGTTTTTATAATTTTCAGAACTTTAGCTTTTAAATTTTTTCAATTTAAAATTTCTTTGGTGCCAGACACATTCCCTCTTTCCAGTATTAAGCAAGATAGAATAAATTTATTAATTAAAATGGCTCACTGTACATATATATATAATATATACCTTTCTTCTCTTTCCTTCTTCAACTCCACATGTACAATAAACCCTGTTTATACAACTATGGGAACTGTCTTAATAAATTTTAAAATTACCCAGCTGGTAGAATGAAATACATTGAATTTTTTTTTTTTATTTAATCAACTTTTTAATAGCAGATGCACTGCTATAAGTGACATGCTGTTTTGAGAGAATCTTAGCAGTGCTCTGGCTTGCATACCAGCAGTCACATCCTTGGCAATGTCTACCTTGAATATTTCCAGTCTGTTAAAGCGAAAGATTTGATTGGTTAAAGAAGCTTGTGTTTGAGTATGCACTGCCTTATGTTCAACAGATGGGATTTAGGCAAGTCTTAAATAGCTGCACTTGACTGAATTGAAACAATAGATCCCTGCTTAGCTTCTAGAATTTCTTTAAATTACTACTTTTGTATTTCACCAGCTGCCTCACTATATTAGTGTTCCTGTAAAATGTCAAAGCCCTTCCAGCTGGAGTCAGTATGTACATAACGTTCCTTCTGAACCATGCTTGAAGCCTGATGGGCTGAGAACTAAAAATAAACTTTTTTTCCCTTCAGTAAATTTCTTTCCAGTACTAGTAACCTCTCTGTGACTTACACATTATTTCTAACAGCTTTTATCTGAAACTAACCCAGATGTAAACAATGGTCTCATTACTAAGGTGGTGTTTCATTCCAGACAAAATTAAGCTTTGGCTGGCTTTGATACTGCTCCATTTGCAAATCCTTAGTGACCTAAATCTTCGGTCTTCTCTCTACACCAGTGTCTCTCTAGGTGTTTTAATGACTGGTTTCATGGATCTTACCAGAAACATGCTGTTTGTTAATGCAGTTGTGCAGGATATACTCAAACACTATGTTGCCTTCAGTGCTGCGCCACTCTGTGCTGTGAGCTCGTGAATGTTCTGAGAGCTCCTGACTACAACTGTATGGCTGTCCATGCTTTTGCAGCACCTGAACTATTACCAGCTTATGTGCAAAATTCTTCAGAAAGCTTGGAGCCCTAAGAAACCATGGGATAGCATTCAACAAAATCAGTCGAGCTGTATTACAATGACTTAAGACGGTTTGCTCTTTCTTAACACAGACCAGGGCTTAAATAAGTCCTGTGATAACAAAACCACTTCCAGGTACAGCATTCTGTGACTGCTTATTTGAGTACTTTCAACATCTAAATGATTTCAAAAACCGCACAGTGGGCCCCACAGAGTCACAGGTAAGCAGCCATGAATGGCTGGAGCAGGATGAGGGAATATGTAACTGAAGTCAGTTCTATACAGAAACACACAAAAATGCTTTTTCTGCAAGTACAGCCATAGCCATAGGAGTAGTTAAGCAGCTACCACAGTAAAGCTTCAGCATGAAGGTTTCACTTTTCTCTTGCCTCAGCTATATGGCAGTCGTATAGTGGAAGAATCTCTGCAGAGGACACTTATTTTTAAACTTCAGCAATGATGGCAGACTTAAGGTACAATTCAGCCTGAAAATCTGCTATAACCACTCAGAGGAAACTCAGTGACAAACTCCCAAGTTAGGCTTAGTGTACCTTTTGAGAGAGGGAAGCAGATTTAAGTTCCACAACGAAATTCTGTGTTATCTTTGTCTTAGCTGACTCCTGTTCAGCTCTTCAACATAAGCACTCAAGTGGGTTTACAGCAGTCTGCTTTCCTTTGAATGAATGTTAATTTTTGAGTAACCCAGTGAAAATCCCGACAGACTACAATCTTTTAAGTTTTTGAGGTTCCATTACCAACAAAAGATAATTTCATCAATCCAAAAGTTTTTCATCTTTATTTAATAAACTTTCAGAAATGAGATTTGAAATGAAGCTTTCTGAACAAACACATCTGGCTTCAGTACCAGGTTGGAGTAAAAGCTTCCCTGGAGTACAAGAGAGGTTGTCAAGGTCTAGTTAAAGCAGTTTTATTACTGTTAGAAGATGCACAGTTTTCAGTGACTTCAGTTCAACTATGTGTTTGCACAGTGCAGAGATGCAGTGAAACAAATCAACTATTCCGTTTGGATGACTCAGCTTCATAAAGTTGAGCCATGGAGTGGTCTTGTTTCCATATGAACTCTTCCAGGTATTGGTTTGCCCCTCCGCAGCTGTCAGCGCAAGTGTACACCACCAGCGTTCCCCAGTCAATGCTCTCGCCAAGGCTGTCAACCTGAAGGTGATTCAGGAGCTGTGGCATAATCTTCAAAGAAAACCAAAAGGTTTAGAGGCAGGCCACAGGCTTCTCCCCTCTCCCCACTTCTCCTCCTGAAGAACAGTCCTGCGTTTGGTGTAAGAATTTATATTCTTTTATACCAAAACCCCAGCTGAAGCTACTATGTGTACGGCAGCTCAAATAAAATAAATTCGGAATTCTAGGTAAGTTTTATTTCCCCTTATAAGACTTGCCTGATCTGTGAGCCTCCCACCATTTGAAATTCTGTTGGCAACTATGTTTTGCCTTTTCATGACATTAAGTGTATTCACCATACATAAACCTCTAGCATTCAAAATTCTACAGCTGAGTACTTCCAGCAAAACGTATTTATAATGAACATCACGAAGTGAAAAGGCACTTAAAAGAGTAAATAAAGGCTCTGTACAATCATTTAGCGCAGTTAGTTTGTTGCAACCTCAACCTTGCTGGAATTACAAGCCAATACCTATACAATTAGATCCTGAGTCTGAAATACATTACCTGTATTATTTTTAAATGACACATACCTGGAATTCAAATATCCTTTTGGCACCACATACACAATTTGGGATATCTTTTTCTTCAGGCCTATTTTCACCTGACACCCAGAGCGGACCTTCTCCTCCTCTGCAGTATCTAATAATCTGAAATACAGCAGAAGTTCTAAGTTCTCATGACTATCATCTTGGTATAAAATTGGTGTTTAGTGACAAATCATTTGCAGTGATTTTTATTTCCCTAATCAAGGAACTCAGAAATGCAAGGTTGTTTATGCTACAGTCTTGAGACAGAGAAAGAGCAGCTGGATAATTAGCACACAGACCTGCAGTGTCAGGAATGCAGTCCAGACCTTCCTGTCTGAAGTTCTGCATCTGAATACAATCAGACTATCCTAATGTTCAAGAAGGTATTTTCAGACATATCCTTTCTTTTTCTGTTTCTAGCAAATCAGGCATTACCAGCAAAAGGACACTTGGACAGATCAGTCAGTACAGTGATGGTCAGAAAGGGTGAGGCAGAAGCAGAGAAGGGAAAAGACTCCAAGTCTCCTACTTTCTGAGTGTGTACCTTAACCCCTCAGCCGCCAGAACCTGGAGAGAACTTCACCACTTTGATGGCTTTAGGCCTGTGCCTTCTCTGAACGAAACCAGGGACCATGGTTTTGTTTGACAATGTAGCTTCTTAGCCTTTTGCATTAATAAGAAATAACATGGGGAGAAGATTTCTGTTTTAAATAGTGGAAAGTTTAAAGCCATCAGTAATTCAACCTTAAAAAAAAGTTAAGCCACCCCCCAATGTAGCTGGTGACAGTGATAGAGCTATTCTCTGCAGTTTTTGTTCTGCTGAGAAGGAAGGCCAGCAGGGCCACAGGCTGGGGAACAGTGCAGTGGAAACACTGCAGGTGCAGCAGGATGCTGTGTTTGAACACACATTCAAAGGCTACCCCATCTTCTGACCTGCTCTGGTTCAGCAGCTACTTGTTTTTTAAACATTTGGAAGATCTTTTCTTCTTCAGTCTCATGTTTTGCCATTGCTTCCAATGTCTCTTCATCTAAGGACTGAAATCTTGCTTCATCTAAGCAAGAAAAAAAGAACAATAGAAGTTACAGGCTAATACAAGACACTAAAAATTAAAAACAATATTAGTATGTGTAAATTCATTTTGCTTCGTAAGTTGTTACTGGCATAAATCTAAGATTGTTTTCTTTTCATGGCATGTTAAGATTTGGTCACACACAGGTTCCATTTACTAGTTTTATTTGCATTTTAAACATAGATGTCAGTACTGGAATACTGGAAAGGGAGGGAATTAATTTACCTAAGTTTATGGCTCCCAGCAGGTATCACTGAGACTACAGAACCCTCAGGATACAACATCTGAAAAAGGCCCTGTGTGCTGTGCATGTGCCAGACTTTAGTTTTTAGCACTGAAGAGTGGATCTGTTACACTCCAACAACCACATCAGTGGGGGCACTTAACACTCTTGAGACAGCTTCGGACCACAGCAAGGGACCACCAGGAACCCAGCATCCTTCCCTGGCACCACCACAAACCCCACCCTGGGTGTGTTCAAGGCCACAAGTGTGGTCTCAGCAAACCGGTTCATCGTGAATTTAGGGGAAGCAGAGAGGAAAGGAGCCTGCACTTAACTGCTGCATTCAAGAGTTAAAATTAATTCAGTTAAACTATTCTCAAAGCAGTTTTCTGCTAGCACAGAGAAGGAAATTTTATTTTCCATAAATTACAATAAATCGAACTAAGTCAAGCCAAGACACTCCAACAATCTCCCAATTCCAAGAGCATCCAGCGACAGGTGCAGTCCTGTCCTTCTCATTAGAGTTGTGCCCTGCCTATTAGAAGCACACAGGGACACAGCGTCACTCTGAGCTATCAGCAGCAACAGCTGCTTCAATAGCCGTAACAGCAACTTATATTATGGCACATCTACAACTAACTAGCATCACAAACGACTGCACATTTAGCCTTTTTTCACCAGTAGTTTACAAGGAACGCTTAAAAATCACAGTACTTGATATTTTAAAGACGTGGTAACAGGCACCACTGGGAAGAATTACAGACAGCATTTTATTTCTGACCTGCAATGCCTGCAGCTCCAAGTTCCTCTTGTTTCGCGTCCTTTGATGTATCTTCAGCACCTTGTTCATCATCAGTGGCGTCAGCAGGAAATTCCGGTTCCTCAGGTTCTATCAAAATTTCATATTCTGGAAAAAGGAACTCGTTATGCTCTGGAATTGCATCTGCCGAGTCGTCTAGAAAACAGAAGACAGACACCACTTCACAAGGTAATCTTGTATTTCACGTCCTTCTCCCCAAAAGCTACACAGCAAACTACATAGCAGAAACACTGCGTGAGCAAGAAAGATTTACATCACTGCTAGACCTGACCTGAAGGTAAGAAACACTGCTAGTTAAGGACAGCGGAAAACTGCAACAGGCGTCCCGTTGCTTTGAACCTCTGTAAATCCGAGAGGTGCGGAGGGCAGACCGAACAGCGCTAGCAGCAGCACTTAAGAACTCAATAGCAGCGGCTCGGCGCGGTATTAAGCGCAGGCTGGCCCGCGTGTCGAGCTGCCCCCGTTCCGGAGGTCCCTGACGGCCGCGGACCCACCT